AAAAATAAGAAAATGTGGTATGATTGCCAATTAGACAACTCTCAACCACATACCAAATGACGTAGAAGTTAACAACTATATGTGACTGTATGGTCTTCAACAATGAGCAAAACCCATACCACATAGTAAGCTATAAAAGGTCCCGAAATGTAAAAACAATTCAAACGAGAAACCTAACGATCTAAATGATGAAGACGCCGACGACGGAATATAGGTTTGTTGTGTCTCACTGCCGCTACATCAATGTCGCAGGCTCGACACAAATCAAAAGACTTGCACTTTATTGTTAACAAATGAGACACTCTAAATCAACTCGCACTAAAGTTACAGGGAAATGGGGGGATCGGACTAAGCGACAAAGCATCAATTCTATAAAATAAGAATTCTCCGATTTTTTTAGCGTGTATGATCATTTGAACATATACGAATATCAATCTTTTATTTTTATAAATTGCATTCTCTGATATACTTCGCACTAATTGAAAAAAACAAACTTTTTGGAATATCTGTTTCACAGGTGACGACGGATATGTTCCAGTTGTCGTAACCACAATCCCGTCATCTTTTAATCGAATGTGAACTACCAAATAAAGCCAAATCACTGGGTTTGTACTTTCACGAATAACACGACGGATGCCACACGTTGAGCAGAATCTGCTTACCCTTCCGGAGCACCCGAGATCACCCTCAATTGATTTATATTACCCAGTAATACCGATCTATTGAGAAGAGCCAACTGAAACTGTTTTTTACATTTTTTTCTTATGTTGTGCTGTTACACTCCAGTCCGAGGTTAGGTTAGGGTTTAACGCTCATATACATGTTAAACTCCGCCACGTGCACTTTCTTTATGTGCCTGCCCCAAGTGAGGAGCCTGTAGTTCAATTGTTTTTCACGTGGTGGCCTTTTTTTAGCCGACTATACGATGTGTTGAAGGCTGTACGGTTGCCTATGATTGCTTACATCCACTGCCTTTAAACTCTGGTGGATAGTTGTCTCATTGGCAATCACACCACATCTAACTTTAATTATTTCAATGTCTATGTTGTGTTTTGTATACTGTAACATTGTTTATCTTTTGTACGCATACCCCTGAGCCCTCTTTTCGGAAGCCCGAGCAAAAGCCTTTGATCTGCGATAGAAAATTTAAATACGAACTCATATTAGATAACTCGAAATCTTATTCTAAATGAGACTCAAATTCGAGTCTAACTCGAACTCTACCTCACAAGGTGACTCAAATTCAAAGTTGAAGTCGAATTTTAACTCGAACTCTACCTTTTGATGTGACTCAAACTCGAAGTTCAACTCGAAACTCAATGCTAACTAGAACTTTAATTCTAATAATGGCTTGAATTCTAACTCGAAATCGAAGACTAACTCAAAGTTTAACTCGAACCCGAACTTTAATTTGAACTCTAACTCGATGGATAGCCACACTCATCCAAGGCACATAAAACATGGAAATCTATTTAAAAATAGAATAAGTTTTTATACGCCCGTTTACCGGACGTATTATGGTATACCGTTGTCCGTCTGTCCGTCCGTCTGTCCGTCGTCAACATGTCAGACATTAACTCAAAAAAAGCTTCAATTAATTTGCATAAAACTTTGGTGAATTGTTCATATCTATTGATGTGAGCTCCCTTTCGTTTTTTATAAAATTTAGATTTTACTTTTCTGAGTTATGGGGTTTTATTCATTAAAAAAGGGGGGATTTTCAAGTTTTCGGACAATAACTCAAAAATGCTTTCACCAATTTGCAAGAAACTTTGGTCAATTGTTTATATCTATTGACATGAGCTCCTTTTTGATTTTTATAAATTTTAGATTTTATGTTTCCGAGTTATGGAGTTTTATTCATTAAAAAGGGGGATTTTCCAGTTTTCGGACAATAACTCAAAAATGCTTTCAGCAGTTCTCATGAAACTTTGGAGAATTGTTTATATCTATTGATGTAAGCTCCCTTTCAAACTATAAATTTTTGCAAAGTTTTTGATTAAACCAAAACAAATAACGTTAAGTTCTATTTTGTAAAAAAAAATCATGTTTGTTTACATTTTTATTTCTTTGAAATTTCGATGAGCAATCTACCTTTTGTAGTTTTGCATAAACGGTGTACTTTTAAACCTTGACTTTTCTCGGATACTGATCATAATATTGAAGCATTTTAACAGACAGTTTTCTTTTCCAATATTTGTCATTATTATTGATTAACTTAGATTTTTTACTGACGTTGCATGCGTCTTCTCGATAAAATTTCCTTCACGATCCTATACTAGATACACGCACCATAAACATTCAGACGACAATGACAAATCATCCCAATGCTTAACAAATCTAGCATTTAGCGTGAAGAACATGTCAATCTTAATCTATCCGATGCTTCAAATCAAATTTGAATTAATCTGAAACCTGAAAAAAAGTGCACTCGTTGCAGATTTCCTTCTGTACTCAAAATTAATGTACAGATATATGAGAGTAAGCAATCACTAATACAAGCGCATTCAAAAAAGATTTAAAAAAATACTTTTTGGAACATTAAGAAGCTGTGTAATTTTATATGCATACCTGTAATAATTTTCACATACTTACCTCAACTTTAAATATTGTTGAGGTAATTTGAATGATGCTAATACTATATGAATTCATCATTTTTAACGGTTTTGAAAATTGTATATTTCATAACAATTTCTTATATGACTTTTCTTATGTGTGTGTTTAATTATTTTTAATTATCTGTTTGTTATATTTCAATGTATTTTATGAGGGCCTCAGGAAAGATTAGATTTATAGCTAACTGTGTAACCCTCTTTAAATAAAGAATTATTATTAATTATTATTATTATTAATAATAATATTAAAATGGTAACCGAAATAATATTCTATAAAAGACACAGTTAGAAATGTTCGTCTTCTCAATTTTCAAATCGTGCTGAGGTCAGCTATATATTAAAGCAACATTATTTGTGACAAAAAAAAAACATAAATTTTCCAGAGTGACGATTGTATGTGAATTGGTCCAGTTTACACATCAATGAACTCGTGAGTGAATTTGTCCACTTTACACATCTTTTTCCATATACTGCCTACATTCAACATGATGAATATTCTGGCAAGAATATTCAATAAACTACGTAGTTTTTAATCCTTACTATGAGTCTTTAAGTACTTGATAGTTTGTCACGTTTTAATATAAACCTTTACGCAGTAGTTTATATTTGTTGTGCATTCCCTTGATATGTATCACGCATGAATATAGATTCATGTTGTGATGGCTAGGCTCAAACTAGCAGTGTGATGTTCTAATTACTAGTTACGAAATGAGTCCGGTGGACTTAGCTTAACTATATATTACAGAAAAAACTAAATACAGTATAGGGTTGTGGGTTCGCTACAAGATCGCATTTAATATGACATATTAAACATATCTACAATCAGACATACATAAATGCATCAAAATTCAAAATACACAAGTCGATACGGACCAAGGAAGTACTATATGAGAAGGTTATTTGGGGCGGGTGGATGGGAAAAGTGTACCAAACTAACTTATGTGTCCTAACTATCTTTTAACGAACGTCGCATGGTCAAGCGCGCCGTAAATTTTCTTTATATACTGACCGCCGAAATGTTCCGTGCAGTTAAGAATTCAATGAGTATTACCTTATCTAATTTACTAAATATGGAAAATCGTTATGTTAAACATAGGACCGTAAGGAAATGTATTTTATTACTGTTTCAATACAAGATCAGCTAGAGATATACGTACGGTTGAACAAAAAAAAAAAAAAAAAATACATAAATAAAATATATTTTTTTAAGAGATTAAAGTTACTATAAGGTGAACTGGACTGTACTGTTAGAAGAAATATCCAGTAAGATTGGGTTTCTATTCCGGGGATATCTCGGGGTATTGAAATTGGACCCAGTTCCTGACTAAGAGGTGATTCCCTCCCGCTAAAAGACAAGTGTCGTCCGTTTGTCAGTGCGGACTGTAAAAGTAAGCATTTATGTACGGACGAAATGGGCATGTTAAATCGATTCCATCCACAATTAGGAACCGATTCAACAACTATTTTTGTCAGCAGATGGCATGTTGTAAGGAAAAATTTGTTACCCCTATCCAATATACCATCTTCTACCATTGGCAAACCAAACTTCATGCTTTTCAACCTGGTCGGACCACTTTGAAGAACCTACGTATTAGATTTATCATAAATTATTCTCGTCCTCGTACATGAAATATTTGCAAAAATATCAATCGATCAATCGATTCACCTGATTCTTATTATATTATTGACGATATTGTTAAAAAAGTCTAAATTTGCAAATTTTCAACTTGGTTTAAAATTTAACTTACGCTGGGACAAATATGAAAATTTAGATATTTTTCCAAGACATAAATTATCAACATAAAAAGCTCTTCTCAGGATCTTTTAGTCAAAAACCTGCAACATGTGCAATATGCCACTACCTGTCCTTGTGACGAAGAAACTGCCCCTTGGTGTATACCTCACATTACGCTTTATTAGGCTATCCTTGACACAATCATTTCTAATTAGTACTGAGATGTACCATTTAGTTAATGATAATTACATCATATACAAATTATATTAATGGTTTTTGGTATTTTGATTGTACGACAGCTCAGTAAAATTTAGAAGACGGAAAAAATAAGTCGATGATCTAATAAATATTTGATTTTATAATCTGTAAAAAGACTAAATCAGTCTTGTGTATTATTGTGTCTTTCCCAATTGACTACCCCTTATTCCACTCATCTCATAGACATCTACATGTATTACCTACTGAGAATCTGTCACTCATCCTTTAATCAGATTACGCATTATTCTTCATAATTCTTTCGAGTAAACAGTACAACTACAACAAGCTGCAATATGGTAAGTCTTATAGCGTATGTTTTTAATTATTTATCAATTAATATTTTTGATTATTAGTCTGATCGCACGACACTCAATCAAAAACTTGCACACACACGTGCATCGTGTAGCTCATATTTCATGCACCTTGAAAGGCTCGTGGCAGCGGTAGTGATAGCTTACATGTAGTAAATCTAATGGATTTAAAGATGAACATATCGATTTAATTTTAATCCTATTAATTAAGGTAAGATTTCAGACACATTTAAAATAAAAAAGTATATTTCAAAGGGCACTTTTGAATTTCCTTAATCTTTTATAAGTGTGAAAAGTTTAAAAAAAAATGAAGAATATAAAACTAATGTATAAAGTTGAATTGTGTGTATAATGTGTAACACTTGGGGATATTTTACCATTTATAAACTGCTCGGGGTGCTTAATTCTTCATAATATGTTAACCCCCTTTTTATTAGGATTCTGTAGAATTTATGAGATAACTGTTTCGTTCAGCCTTATGTCAAAGAAGATAGATGTAGTTATTCTTTAAAATTCGAAATGGAAAGACCACCAATGGGTCTTCAACACAGCGAGAAAATCCCACACCCGGAGGCGGGCTTTAGCTGGCCCCTATATAAAAATGTGTACTAGTTCAGTGAAAATGGACGTCACACTAAACTCCGAAACATATAAATGAAGTAAAATTTAAAAAAAACATACAAGACTAACAAGGACCAGTCTGACTTGGGACAGGCGCAAAAATGCGGCGGGGTTAAACATGTTTTGTGAGATCTCAACCCTCCCCCTATACCTCTAGCCAATGTAGAATAAAGAAACACACATCAATACGCTTTTAAATTGTTTGAATCTTAAAATCCAGTTGAAAATATCAAATAAGTGTTCAGGACGGGATACCATCAACGGTAAATGACAAGTTTTGAAATTAGTTTGGACAAAGAAAATAGTGAGATAATTTCCATGTTATTTGAATCCTAAAGAGTATGTGAGGAAAAGGGAGGGGGTACTTATATGCACCAGGTCACCTAGATATATGACTACTGCGAGTTTGGGTGTGGTTTAGAGGCCCATAAAAGTGCCGACAGCGTGACACCACAGTACCATTATTTGTACAATCCCAATCTGATCGCTCTTCTGAAATTTTGGATTTATGTTACTTGGGTCAAGTCACTAACACACAATTTTGTTGTGTTATGAATTCAGTCTTTCCAAGCCTTGTCTCGTGTTTTTCATCCATATCAGAAGTGTGGAACTGTCAATACACACTTCTTATCAAAGAACTTACATTTGTAAGCATTCTCTTGTAACATAACGATAATCAGTGTTGTTACAAAACACATAAAACAGACAGATTGGGGAGTTCTGCCAAAGTCTTTCTTCTATTCAATATAATAAACTCATCATAGATATAAGCGTGCTATGAGAATGCTTTAACTATTAACATTTCTGTCTATTTATATCTTCTGTTTTTAATTGCTTTGCAAGACAGGCTGCATCTCATTTATCTATATATTAAATGTTTCGTTTTCTGTGAATATATATTTCTTATGATTCCAAATGGAAAATTGTTCTGAATGTATTATAGATACGATTACAGTCTTCATAGTGTCAAATTAAGTTAGTGAAGAGGTTTGCTTTTATATACATGTATAGTGAAAATGGTTTTCTACGAAATCCTTTATGGACCTTGTGATAATCTCCTATTAACGTACATTACAATTTAATGAAACAATAATTATGGGACAACCATGTGAAGGAGAAAAGAGGGGGAGGGGGCAAGAGGAGTTTTTTTCTGACGGACATTCATTTTCAACTTTTCTGTAAGAATCAACGATTTTTTACATTTATTTCCTATATGTACTGCATTTTTTATTCGTCAAATATTCATTTTCACCTTTTTTAATTTTCAGTTCTTACTAGGCCAGAATATTCAAAACCCTCCTTCCCCCACCACAGATTATATAATGGTCGTCCCTGAGCTTTTGTATATGTATTATTGTTAACATTCATAAAATGGTCAATTCTGTATCGAACTAGTCACTAACTGAAAATACGCAGAAATTTCTGATTTTTGTCAATTAAGTTAACAAGTGCAAATACGGTTTTTTTACGAGACAATGTTGTATTGATCCGATAAACTATATAAGACACTGTAAATACTAAAGTGAGAAAATGTCAACAATATACAAAAATAGACAGAGGTGAATATCCATAATTGTCAACCCAAAATGGTTAATTCTCTGAGGGCGCAGCCCGAAGTGAAATGACATTTTTAGGGGTTGACAATTTTGGATATTCACCGCTTCTATAAGGGGCCACGATTGTTTTACTATACTGAACTAACAGTAGAAGGGCCCTTTCGAACCATTTAAGATACTTGTAAAAGAAGCACATTCCAAACATATAGTAACAGATTGTCAAAATACTTACATCAAAGAATTATTTTATTTGTGTCATAGAATTTCTCGTATGTAGAACAAAGGTAGACTCTTTCTTAATGATATTAATGGCCCTTAAAAGTGCCTTTTCTATAAATAAGAAGATGTGGTATGATAGCCAATGAGACAACTCTCCACCAGACACCAAATGACATAGAAGTTAACAGCTATTATAGGTCACCGTTTGTTTATAAACGTCTCCGAGGAGAGACGTTATTAAGAATTGAACGATGGACAGTCTGCGGGCTGAATACTTCTTATTACCTGATTGGAAGATATTACTGAGAAGTTAATAATTAAAGTTCGTTGATTGGTTGGGACAATCCAAACCTAGTAAATGTCTTTCAATCCCGTAGAGTGTCGGACTTGAACTCTCTATTTTAGCAATTAGATTTTGCCTGGTTACCAATCATGCATATCGGTACACAGTACACAGGTAACACTTATCTATGAATAGCTGAAACTCATGAAATCTTGTAAACGCACATGTGATTATTTAACATTCTGTCCAGTCGCTTACACAGGGACTCGGTTAGCAGAATAAAATTTTGTTTATCAATGTTTTTCAAATCTTTTTTCGTATTTCCTATCTATTTGTATTACATTATTAACGTTTTTAACGTTGGCATAAATATTTCTTTGTTTTTTTTCTAGCAATGTACGTGCAGTTTACTATGATCTACTATCCATATCCGTATACTGAAAAATCCTATACAAATAGACATGAAATACGAAAAAAGATTTGAAAAAAACATTGATAAACAAAATTTTAATCTGCTAACGGATAAACCGAGTCCCTGTTGCTCACTGTTACGTACATCTTATATATGAAAGCATACTTAGGAAAACATCGTGCTTTTTTCTTAGGTTATACTTCGCAAGATAATCTAAAGACAACAAAAAATGAAAAAAGAGAGATATCCAATCAGTTACTTTTTATTAAATATTAATTTAAACTGGGATCTTTATCTCAAAACGAGGGGAGTGCGACCTTTTCATGGTAAAAGCCGAGACCCAAAGGGAAAAACATATAATTATATGTATCTGGTAAAAGAACATAGTATCCTAGAGATCAAATACTTTTTTACAATAAGTATGCCTACACATAGCTATCATGGTTATGATATTTCATGATGGGGGAATAAATTGTTTGACAACTGATGCGTAAAACATTTACAACCATGATTTTAATTGCATCTGTAAAAAATTATCAACATCTGATCAGTTTCAGATTCAATCTTCAACCTAGTCTTATATCACCTAAATTTCTCGACTTCATCAAACATTATGAAGCTTAAATAAAGACCTATTCTACCTCTCAATACAAATGATAAGTATGATAAATGCACTCCCCGATCTTTAGGACAGGGTTTGGGCTGGGTAGAACGTTGTCTAGCTCTCCCTATAAAAATAGCAGACTACGAAGAACAGAAGACCCAAAAAAATCCAAAGGGGAATATAAGAAGAATAAAAAAAACTACTCTCAGACGTTGAAAGCAATTATACATGTATATATATATACTATCATATTTCAGCAGTGCTTAATTTCTATGAATGATTCTAAAGGAGATATGAAGTAAACGTAATTTATTTAGACAGCAACCCAATTAAACAACAAACAAAACAATTTACTTCTAAAATTCAACCTACTGTCTACTACAGTGAACATGTCATTACAATATTTTAAGTTTTTAATACTACCAAGTCTAGCTGTGATATACAGAATAGTTGTGAATATATGTAAAAAATAATATCTTATTATCATATACTTGTATAAAATATTACTAAAATTTTACAGTTCAATAACATTTAAAAATATTAAAAGGCTATGAAAGGATTACTAGGTTTATTTATCAGATTCCTAAGAATTTCCTCAGCGGGCTGATAAAGGAACCTTTATTGACTGCTTCCGGAATGTTATCACATGCCTTTCCGTTAATTTCCGTGACGTTTATCACATGCAACGTCGTGCATTTCCGGAAATTTGTTCGAAAACGACAACACAGTTCGGAAAACCGCAAGTGATTTAAGACTTTCCACAAAATAGTTGAGGAGCAAATTTCAAACTAAGAACATGTTAATTCTTGTGACAAGATAAATAAAATGCTTGTAATATCAATAAAAACAATAAAAGTTAAGACATTTGTATTTGGTTGTCTGTAAATTATTATCTAAAAATTCATGGAAAGACAAAATTTTAATTAATAGTTCTTGTCTGTATTTCTTCTGTTGAAGTATATGATAAAAAGATAATTACATGTCATTTATCATATCAGACCCTTTATCGGCCCTCGTTCATGATATCAGCCCTCGAGCCTGCGGCTCTTGGGCTGATATCATGACCTAGGGCCGATAAAGGGTCTGATATAAAAAATGCCATGTAATAATCTATACATATCAAAAAATGAATATTACTTAAAACAATGAGCAGGGCCAAGAACAAACTTCTAGTAGTTGTTTTGAGATTTATTGACCATTTATACTACATACATATGATATATGAGAGAAAGAGAAATAAAAGAAAATTATAAATTTCAAATACGAAAATACTGTTGGCATTTTAAAAGAATGGTCTCTCACAAAAGATTATGTCAATCCAGTATGTTAAGCTTTGAAGTATTCGTACGATAAGGACCTTATTTGACACCCAACATAAAATAGTATGCTGCTTAATAACGTGTTTGGTAAAATTTGTTGATTTATATGCAAGGATATTCTGAATGAATTAATCTACAAAGCGAGAACACTTTCCACTTTCATCAGCTAAGAGACGACTAGCTTTTTTAGAAAAGCTATTACTTGTTACATCGATCATCGAGTTTGTACAAAAAATTTGTCTTCCGGTACCACAGAAAAGAAAGGATATGGGGTGTTTATATTGCTGAATAAAATATACTGTGAAGGAGGGCATGCTTGATTTCATACCTTTGAGCCTGCTGTCAGCTACTGCGAGCATTCTTTAATACGATATATATTATGATTATTAGGTTTGCACTATATACAGGTCTTGTGTTTTTCTTATCTATCACACCCTTTTAATAGAGTTAAGTGCTTTTCCTGTGCTAATTTTTATATATATATTTTTATAAATTTGTCACAAATATAAAGATGTATAATTATGGTATTATTATTCCACTTTATGGCCTTATGTCCCAACGGCGACGAAAAGGAAAGGAAGTAAAATAAAAAGTAAAATGAAATGAAAAGTGGTCTTTCACACCCATATATATATGTTATGTACACTTATCCGTTTTATTATAGAATCAAAGGCTTTTCCAGCATTGATTTTTTTTGTAAAATTTACTAAATTTGTCACAAATATAGAGATGTATATATAATTGTGGAAGTACGATTCCATTTCAGGAATTACTTCACACCTATCTATTTATTGTATTAGTATTTATAAACATTTGTTCTGATAAAAATAAGAAGATGTGGTATGGTTGTCAAGGAAATGACTACCCACTACTGTTGACGTGAACGTGAGCAACTATACCGTAACCATACCGTCTTCAACAATGAGCAAAACCCATGCCGTGTAGTCAGCTACAAAAGGCACTAGAATATGAAACAATTCAAACGAGAAAACCAACGACATAATTTATGACAAAATAATTAACAATCAAAAGTACTGAAGTGCTGAACATCGGATGACCGCAAGTTCTGGTGGATGGTCACAAGCACTTGTCTCAGAAAAAAATCACATCTCTATACCTGAAAGTTAGGTTAAGGTAGATAGATATATTTTTTCTGATACAAGTTTGTGTGTGAATGATGAACAAATGACAGGGAATTCAACCTCACCGTAATAACTATTATATTGTAGTGATATAATTATTTGTCATCAGTATACTCTGGTTTGTTGTTATATATTATATTTATATTTGTATAATAGTTATATAAAATTTTCATCCATATGTTTATCATTCTATTCTACTCTTCTAATGATAGCGCAGTGCAGGTGCATGGTGGACACTCTTCTGCAATAATTCGTTTTTTCTAATAGATTCAATTTGAGTAGGCATTCATATTTTCTCGCGTTTATTACAAAACGTTCTTGAGATATGCTTCCGCATGCGTTAACACAAATTTTCGGTATTCTTGATATGTTATTGATATATAAATCTCACGACAAAACATTTTCATATCATTTATCTATGTTCTTAATAATTATTTTCATGAATATTTATTGATAAAATTAATATATAACAAGCGATAAGGAATGTTATTTTGTACACGATAATATCCGCGTAACTATACGATTATCAGTCAAAAACGAATGTCACGTGGGTAGAAATGTCTGTGGCAACAATACACCGGAATGCCCTCACGGCCATCCGATGTAAAAATCAAATATATCAAACAGCAACCACCGACATCCACTGAATTACAGGCTCCTGACTAGAGACAGGCACTAAAAGAATGCGGCGGGGTTAAACCAGTTTGTGATTGCTCAACCGTCCACTTATCTGGAACTAAATATTTGTTCGGAATGGCTTAACTTGAAGCAGATCGGTACGAAACACAAAAATAATAGATGCAAAGTATCGATGTAAGAGTACTCACAGTTAATCAAAGCTAGTTCAGAGCCAATTACAACTAATAAATAAATCATGTTCTACCAGACTAAAGACAAATGAGGTAGTTAAATATACGCATGTTCTATTTAGAACCGTTTGTTAGTCCACTGATCGTTATAAAAAGGGGGAGGGTTGTATCCCAAAACCCTGCCACATATTATTGTGTTTGCCCCAAGTCAGGAACCTCACCAGTCTTTGTTTTTTTTTTTCATATTCTTATGTTGTTGTTTTTTTGGCTTTAAAGAATTGGTGTTGACGGCAGATCTTTTAAATATTTATTGTTTTTGTTGAAATTATTCATAATTTTTCAAACTCGCGGCGATTAAGAGCTTGACATAATCTGTCTATTGTTGACGACTTATATTGAACTCTTCAAGATCTTGGTTATTTGTGTTATTGGGTTGCTGTCTCATTGGCATACATGTATACCCCGCATCTCCTTTATTCAAATTTCAGATGTACAATGAACCCTCATATCTATCTGATTAAAGCAATAACATTTTTAAAAAAATACCCGTGTGTTTATTGAAACTATCTTTAAGAACTTTTTAAATAATCTTTAAACACTTAATCGGCAAAACAGTTCTTAGCATATTGCTTGCTTCCGATGGCTGTTAGTGATTCACACAAGTGAATTTATTTATAGTTTGGTAACCCACTTAAGTGAACCTTTGTTAAAGAGAAAGAAGAAACCGCAAACGAACCAACGTTTATCTTCAACAAAAGTCGATATATTCTATAATTTTCTTTTGATTTTTTACAGTAAAACAACATTGTCATTTTTCTCTGTTATAATTGAAAGCCAACATATATAATACCAGGCGAAAAACAGTTATGGTATACAGTAAGTTAAACACCAATCGTCACCAGTAACCCTCACCACTTTCTGAATAAAATCTCCCATTATCCCAACCCCACCCTAAATTTCCTTGTGGTGAATGTCTTCGTTGTAACAGCTCAACAACATAATACTATGAAATGTTGTTTTCTGAATTCAGTAATTTAACATTTTACAATTTATATATACAGGCATCAAAGAAAAAGGAAAACGGACCGAGTCCAACTAAAAAATCAGACAAGGAAGCTGAAACAAAGACAGAATCCAAAACAGAAGAGTCGAACAACGAGCAGAATAAGAAAGAAGAAGAAACAAACAATCAAACTGAAACGGAACCACCACCTAAAATGCCACCATTGAAGATGTGTATATGTGGCAGTGGAGAAGGTGCCCACTGTCTTGTTGGACTGGCGGCATCGCAACCAGATGTTGAAGTTCGTGTGCTCACTCTTCACGAAGATGACGCAAAACTATGGACAAAAGAAATGAAAAATAATGATTTAGTAGTTGTTATTAACAACCGAAATGGAACATCGAGAGAAGTAAAAGCAAAGCCTGAAATTGTAACAAAGAATCCAGAAGAAGCTGTTGCCGGAAGTGATTACATTTTTATGGCTGTGTCACCAACTTCTCATGATATTTACTTCAAGGCAATGAAACCCCACGTTGGTAAAAACACCTTGATTGTAGGCTTACCTGGTTTTCCAGGTTTCGAATATCAATGCAGGGACATCTTAGGCGAAAAATCGATTCCCTGTACCTTGATGAATTTTAACGACTTACCTTGGGATTGTAAACTCATTGAATTTGGAAAGAAGGTAGAAATCGTAAATTTTAGAAGCTATCTAACTGGTTCTATGATTAGAGGTCGAGGAATTTGTAGAAGGCCCCCACTGATGACTCTCCAAATGCTTCACGGTGCAGAACCTATTTTTCGACAATCGAAAAATCATCTGGAGTCTATTCTTATGTCTCATTCATATATTCGACCAGCAATTATGTTTGGCCATTGGAATCGTTGGAACGGTAAACCCATCCCTAAAGCTCCTCTCTTTTATGAGACAGTAACAAAAGAAACAGCAGATCTAATTTCTCATTGCAGCGATGAATGTGTGCAAGTAGCTAAAGCTATAATGGGGAAAAGTGCAACAAAAATAGATCTATCGGAAGTCAAACCGATTTTCGAATGGTATCAAGAACTTTGTTCGAATGATGTTAACGTTTGTACAGATTTGTTGACCGCACTTACAACAAGTAAATTTGATAAGGATGTGACTCATCAAATGAAGAAAGATAATGGTGGATTAGTTCCAGATTTCCATTGTGAGAGCTTAGTAGAAGACATGCCTATGGGTACAATAGTCATACGCGCACTTGCTGATATTGTAGAAGTTAAGACGACAAATATTAACATGCTCATTGAATGGTGCCAACAAAAAATGGGAAAAGAATATATTATCAATGGTGAATTAAAAGGCAAAGATATGAAATCAACCAGATGTCCACAACAATATGGATTTACTACATTAGAATCAATTATTGCATGCCAGATAGAATCAACATTAGAATCAACCATTGCCAGCCAGATAGAATCAACAAGCTAATGAATCAGAATTGTAGGGATCCTATTTAATTTTGCTTTCCTGCACATTGTTGACGGAGACATTTCAAAGTATACGCTTCATTCCTGTGTAAAAGTCATATATGTTAAAATCTATATTTGCTACAGCATCGAAATATTTTCATTAAAAATTCTACAAATGACGTCTACAGTAATCTGATTTTTGATACAAAACAAAGATAAGAATAAAGGATGAAAACAGGTAAAAAGTTGTGCGATACTGTGCTTGTATACATGTTTACCGTAACAGACCCAAACATTTTTGTATAAAAAAAAATGGGGAAATTTGAACAAAAAAGAGAAGGTGTGATATGAGTCGTTATTTCGCTCCTTAATTTTCAATTTCGTTAATTTCTTCAAGCCTAAATAAATTTAGTACGTTATTTTATTATTGACAAAGAAAAGTTTCGGGGGAAAGTTTTCATAATGGTTGACTTTTTTTTAAACTGTGGTGTTTGTACACTGAAAAAGGTGGACATTCAAGTCGAAGAGAAACTGACAACACCATGTAAAACACAAACGTCCGAATGACGACGAAAAGTTAACAAGTCTACAAAACACTCCATATGCAGGCGCTGCTGCAATATTGCTACATAGAAAAGGAAAGACTTTTTTTTCGGAAAACGTTTCGGGAACAAATCAGGCGATAATGCCGACTTATCAATATAATATACTTAATATATAATATAAATCAAATTTTGTAGTTAGATTTCACAGAAACAAATCATTTAATTTTGATACGCAATGTATAAGTAACTAACAATTAGTACATTGAAAGGAAATTGTTTTGTCACCTGAAACTTTATTCTTTACAGCTTTCTGAAAAATTTTGTTGTTACGTATGGGGACGGTAAATCATGTTCAACGGGGTTACTGTGATTGTTTTGTTAATTTGGTACTTTGTTATATATAATAGTCTTAAATAGATTTATTTTTATAACGTAATTTAGTTTATTCAACGTCGATTACTTCAACATGATTCAATATATTAATTTCGAAATCAAAAACAGAACCTATCAACCATTTTTGTTTCAATGATACAAGACATCAACTGCAACTGCTGAAGTAAGAATTTGATACAACATGGCACATGCCAACGTTAGATTTTTTGTATATAGTTTTGGATTCTAGTCTTATCTAGCCTGTTTGCCAAATTGAATGTGGAGCTTTGATAAGCACAAAACATATCATATTCCCCATTGTGACATTGTAAATTATTCTGGATGATGCACGAAAAGCAGGAGACGCTAACCCTGTCGACGCACACACCTTTTTAACTTATTTTTATTCGAGCGTCACTGATGAGGCTTTTGTAGACGAAACGCGCGTCTGGCGCAAATACAATCCTGGTATCTATGATGAGTTTATCTTCACTTCGTTTCTAGTTGATGCTATGATGGTTTGTATTTTAAGTATTGTAAGTTTTTGTCAAGTCGTATTAGATGTGAGGGTATTTGACAACTGCCTAGTATGGTTCATTTTGGTCAAACAATTGCGAGAAATGGAAAAAAAGTGTCTACCAATAAAAATGAGTATGCTTCGTTGCCAGAATGTATTTCACCCAATCAGCACATAAAAAGGAACTTTTGATCAGGTAGAAACATTAGAAAGTATTTGGAAGCACCGTTTTTTATGTAAAATTTTACGGTTAAATACACTGCTTTACTGATCACCCCTCATACAGAAATTATAACACCATATAGCACATGTTCCTTATCACCACAGGGGCCTCGGTGTCCGAGTGGTCTTAGTAGTTCATATGCTATATCACTATAGCCTGTCAACACTGAGGTTGTGAGCTGAATACAACACGTGGACTATTTAGCCAAAAGTGCTGTAAATGGCGCTAAACACCAACAATCAATCAATCAATCGTAACTTCAGTGGCTTCCATTTCGACATCGCTATATGAACTGTTGTTGTACGCCACCGTGCTCCTGTGTATCAATACTCTATACGATCATAGAACGGGCCTACAACCTTCCGAGAAAGACGATTGGATAAAGCGACCGACCGCAACGCCTTTAAACAGCATATCACATACAAAATAACGAAGAAAATAACGCTATATAAATTCTATGCGTTCGAAGTGCTTTTTGAATTAACCTTCACCAAGAACGCTCAAAGCCAAAAAATTGAAAGACATGGATATATAAGTACCGAAATCCGTGAGCAGCTATATGACCAAAAGTTACTTAAAAATAGTAACAAATACCATCTAAGGTCAAATATGCACAATGAATTGACGCTTGGCACTTTAAAGAAGAATTTATAATTCTATATAGCAATAATGTATTTGGCTTAAAGGGTCTCTTCGATATAAAAAAAACCCAAGTATATTCAGAATATTAAAGTTGTTGAATGTAGGCAGTATATGTGAAAAGAAATAAACCTGATGATGGTCAGAGTGGAAATCCGTAGGTCACAAAATAAGGAATGATTTATTTAAAATTAGAATTAAATATACAAGGCCAATTAGTTTCAAGCCTTCTTTAAAATATATAAAGCTTATGTGAGATAGTTATATTTATGACAAGTATAGTAGTCACTGTGATATAGAATAATTTAACAATATTTCCCAGAATTCTCAATATAATGACTGTATAGTTTTAAGACACAAAAAAGAGCAAAATGTCTTATAAATAAACATAAAAAGTATACATGTAAATACTTTTGTACTTTCACACTTAATTTTGTATAACGCGTTTCCTCCAAGGTTTGACTGGATAATTGATATGTGGCCATCCCTGGGCATCTCCTGTACTATAATGAAACTCTAGCTAAGGTGGGGCGTCCGTTTGGTTGTGCTGGATGTATTTCGAATTCGTTCAATCGGAATGAGAACGTTAAATACTGTGTAGGATGAATGTCTCGCTCTCTTTACGTTAAATAACCCTTGCAACATCTTCTTATTTCTATATTGTTGCACTCAGCTGATCTTTTTTTCATAATCTTAATTGTTCTACACAGTGTTTATATTTGGCTTAGTGTTTAAGAAAAGTCTTTTAAACTCAAACACGTCTGGTCATAAAAAAAAACGCAATTTTAATTGCAAAAACTTAACAAGTTTGCAAAATTTCAAAATATCTAAATTTCTTTCATCAAACTTAAACATGGAGAAGGATACTGAGGTACGTAAGATTACAATGACAAGGCGGCTCACAGAAAGAGAGCCTTAAGTAGGCAGCTTACCGGAGAAGAGAGGGAGAATGTCAGTCCAACTTCTGAGATACTGGTATTTTACAATCTTTTTAGAATGATCATACAAACGGGTGATGCGTGACAATGGGAGATGCTAATCTTGTCGACCCACCAGGTCAGATTGGGCCTGAAATGTTGAAAAAGCAGGAAAATAAACGAACATCGTGTGTTCGGTCATAATTGAAATAAAATTAAATGCATTGTTTCTTATTTGCTGCAAATTATCACATGCAAGTAAATGGATTGGTCATACGCATATATTACCGTGTCCAACTAAAGATCAAATCTACCTCAAAATCCATAAAACACTTCACAAAGATTGCGTAACACGAGTTTCACCCCAAAAAAAGGGATTGACTCATGATTACTTACTCCGGAAGGGCAGCAGTTCAGACATCTATGCCGATACCCGGCATGTTGCTCATCTTTAAAGTGATTAAAGCCAGTGATAAGTCTTCATACCAAAGAAAAGTAGTTAATATTCCCTCTCTAACCATAAGAAATTAACAAATTCAACATTATTCTAATATGTGAAATAACTTACATTTAAACATGACGGAATTTGAAAGTTTGAAATGAAAATATGATATGTTTTCAGGAAAAATGCAAGACAAAACTATGGCCGGTATAGAAAGAAAGTTTACATTGAAAAATATAATATCACAACAAGTAAAAGAGAAACTATCCACTAGTAAGTAATAATACTATAATATGACTAAAAAACGAACAGAAAAAAAATCTTAAGCTTAACTCAATACCGGAAGAGTAAGCAGTTCTTTCTCTTCTTGTCTAGTAGCATCCGTTGTGTAGCACATCACAATTAAAAATCTGGCGATGAATTACTGTAAAATTATGGTGATATTTTAAAATATAAACGAGAAACTGGCTACGACAAAGGGAACAAACATATCAGTGGCCAACAGTGACACACATATTCCTTAACAGCCAGCAAATTCATGATATATGTAGTCAATGTCCGTAAAACGTTGGAAGGCATAATTCTTTTAGAGCTCATGAGATTCATTCTTTTTTAAAATTTTACCTTGATTTGTATCATCTTAATGGATTTTTGAGATACGAATGTCGGCTAAAATAGGATGGAGGCAACATTTTACTAATATCAGTATCATTTTCAAGATCGTATGAACATTTTCCTCGATAGCTAGGTATATAACCTTCAACAGTCTTTGATATCTATTTGTTCCGGACCATACGAGTATTTGGACCGTACGCATATGGTCATGACGATATGGGTATACTGATATGGTCGGACCATATGAATATATACTCGTTTGGTTATTAACGGACCAAACCATATGAGTATTAAGACCATATAGGTATATTTCGAATAAATTCAAACTTCTTTAACAAACACAGCTCGTCTCTGAATCAAAATCGGCACAAGTTGTTTACTGAAATACTTTATACTTGTTACATATTGTCTGAATCTTGGTACATTTGCTGTCTTGCCTTCGCTGTCTAGAGTCAATTTATGCACCTTTATCCTATCGACAGTTTCTTCCGTACGTGAAACCACAGGTGTTTGGAGCATGGACATTTCGTTCTTTTTCCCAAGCGTTTAGATGAAATGTTCTTTAATTTCTTCTATTTTCCACTATTTTTTACTAAACTGTTGTGTTCATACTCTTATTCATACGATCTTACAATAACAGTAGTTTCTACATAAGAATACAGAGACAGCACGCACAAATTACTGTAATTGTAAATCGTATAAAAAGGAGCATAAACAAATTAAATAACTAAATAGAATTTGAAATGTTTAAGAAATTTTAATTACAAAAAAAAAACAAATTGAAACACCAAAATAAAGAAAAAATGGAGGGTTCAACGCTCCAATTGCTAATGTGTAAATCAGTTGACGTCTTGCTTTACAGTTCATTAAGTTATTTTCTGAGTTGACGTATTGTGTGTTGTAAAGACA